ACAGACATGCTAATGAATACATTGTGTAAAGCCACCGGTGAATTGGTGTAGTTCTTTATAAAGTTTACTTATATTTATCTCGGTGAAGAGTGTTCAAAAGAAACTGTGATTGTATTAGAATTAGTAATTATTTGGTGTATGCATGTTATAACCAGTTTTTTTAGTCGGTACTGTTATTTAATTATGCAGTTGAAGTTAAAAACCCTAGTTATAACTTTTGAAGTCAGTGATTTTTTTTAATAGATGTGACATAGCTTCTGATTTCCAGTATTTTACTGTGAATTACTGCAGGACTGTTTGCATTTGAAGTCCATCATCAGTAATGTTCTTTTTGAGCTCTTTTTAAAGAATTCTGATGATAATAATCAAGTATCTTGATGTTTTTCATCAAAGATGTCCAGTGCAAATAATATGTATGATCTATATTCATGCTGAATGTTTAATATCATTCAGATCAGTGTGTTAAAATGTCCAGTGTAAATAATATGTATGATCTATATTCATGCTGAATATTTAATATCATTTAGATCAGTGTGTTAAAATGTCCAGTGTAAATAATATGTATGATCTATATTCATTCTGAATATTTAATATAATTCAGATCAGTGTGTTAAAATGTCCAGTGTAAATAATATGTATGATATATATTCATGCTGAATGTTTAATATAATTCAGATCAGTGTGTTAAAATGTCCAGTGTAAATAATATGTATGATATATATTCATGCTGAATGTTTAATATCTTTCAGATCAGTGTGTTAAAATGTCCAGTGTAAATAATATGTATGATCTACATTCATGCTGAATATTTAATATCATTCAGATCAGTGTGTTAAAATGTCCAGTGTACATAATATGTATGATCTATATTCATGCTGAATGTTTAATATCATTCAGATCAGTGTGTTAAAATGTCCAGTGTACATAATATGTATGATCTATATTCATGCTGAATATTTAATATCATTCAGATCAGTGTGTTAAAATGTCCAGTGTAAATAATATGTATGATCTATATTCATGCTGAATGTTTAATATCATTCAGATCAGTGTGTTAAAATGTCCAGTGTAAATAATATGTATGATCTATATTCATGCTGAATGTTTAATATCATTCAGATCAGTGTGTTAAACTAAATAAAACATTACAAGTTTTGTAAATATAGTACTTAACCTCTATATTGTTGTTGTAGTTTGTAATATATATTTTAAACCATTTTAAATGTTTTATCACTGGGCTTGAAGCTCTTTAGAAATATACAAAATGTGTACTACACCGTATTGTTCTTTTTTTATTAGACATAGATAATTTATGTAAATCTGTCTTAATGGCCAAAGGAGTGTGTTTGTTTTAGTAAACATGTCTCATCAATATTTGTGGTGTTATTTTACACAATATATTCATTAGCATGTCTGTAAACACTTCATTGCTTGGGAAAGTAATACTTTCTCTATGTGCTGTATTTGTACAATATATATATTCTGATGCATTATTTCTCCTGGTTACTAATATGTAGAATAGGATGGTCCACACACACATATGGCAAAAAAGGTACAATTGACAGCTTCTGATGGTTTTTTCTCCTGGTTACTAATATGTAGAATAGGATGGTCCACACACACACATATGGTAAAAAAGGTATAAATGACAGTTTCTGATGCATTTTTTCTCCTTGTTACTAATATGTAGAATAGGATGGTCCACACACACATATGGCAAAAAAGGTATAAATGACAGTTTCCGATGCATTTTTTCTCCTGGTTACTAACATGTAGAATAGGATGGTCCACACACACATGGCAAAAAAAGGTACAAATGGCAGCTTCTGATGCATTTTTTCATTCCTTATATGAAGACAATCCTCAGACTGAAGTTTGAACAAAATACATCAATATTTAAGGGTGGTGCAAATTTGAAGAAATTTGCCACAAGTTTACTTCTCCAGTTAATTTTCTTAATTAGCCTTTGCTTATCGGTTGGTAAACAATACCACTGTTGCACGATCTTGTAAGTTATGAAGTATATTATTATGTACAGTATTTTATAATTCAATATAATTGGGTCATGTACCATGTGGTTTCTAGATTTAAGAGGTGTGTAGGAAATGTTACATGTGGATTAGTTTTCAACCAGATAATGAGGTTGTACATGTTGACACTTCCAGAAAAAGGTGCAGTGTGCTTGATAAATTCGTAAGATATTTGTAGGTCATTGCCTTCCAGTTTCACCAAGAACTATAATGCAAAATCAACATATCAGGTTGAATCTGTCTCCTTCAGTGCTTCAACATGATGTAGCATGCAAGGAAGCATTTGCAAAGTTGACCAAAGGGTTTTATGAACAGCTCAAATGGGAAAATCTAGACACTGGATGACATAACGTGCACTGCTGCACCCATGTGCGCTTATTGCAGTAGGTTTCAGTGATGTGCATGTATGTGACTTATCACTGGTGCAACCTGTCTCCTCAAATGTTTTTATGAACTTATGCATTGCATCACTGCCCTCTTGTGTATGTTATTCGCTGGTTCACCTTTCTTCAAACTGGTCAGTTTTGTGTTGGTAGAATAAGTTGCTATGTGACTGCAGGCCCATTTAAACCCCTCTGATGGCCACGTATGACAACTGTGGCATTTTTTATCTGCATGCCCCTAACATTTCTGTGCAATATCACCCTCCTATGCCATATTGTTTGTAAGATATTGGTCAGTGAAATGTAAAATATTCTTTATAACCATCCTATATATATATACTGATACTGTTTTAACCTTAAAGTTTGAAACTTGTATACTTATGTGAATAATGCAGTATTTCTAGCTCTGAATGCTTCATTATCTGTTGTATGGTACTGTTGAATAATGGATTTATTGTATATACAGTAGTTGTAGGCAATTACTTAGAGAAAAATAAACTACACATTTGTGTTATTTCGTACCTGGTCTTCCACTTTATATAAAACAAGACGTGAAATACAGTGAGTATACTGTTGTGTACATAATTAGAAAAGACACGTAGAAGTACTAGACCACCTATAGCACATCAAGTGTAAAGGTACATGCGGCAATAAACTCCACTTTTGTTTGGCATCGGCTTCATAAGTTTCGGTTCCGACTGTTTCATTCATTTGAGCTTTCATTTGCAATGTTAAGGCAGTAAAGTTAATATAGCTACCAAACTCAAACTGTTCATCTAACTGATTATTCATTGAAAGTAGATCTTTAGAGTTTCCATCTTCTTTCCAAGTTTCACCTAAGTTGTTTCAGTCAGTTTTTTCAACAACTTGTGACTCCAACCAGATAAATCTGTTTTACTTGACCTAAGTTGGTTCAGTCAGTCTCTTACAACAACTTGTGACTCCAGCCAGATAAATCTGTTTTACGTGCGTATATGTAAGTTATAAATTCTTTTGAAATGACTGTTTAGATTGTTATGTAAACTAAATACAATGATGAAGTTACTCACTATATAGTATGTATATTGTATATTCATCATTGGAATACTTTGGGCTTAGTTATAATTATTGCATTTTAAAAATCTGATCTGTTTGAATGTTACTTTTCTCTTTCTCTTCGGTTTCATGGAAATCTAAATAAAATGAGGAAGGGTAGACCAGTGAGTGGTTTGTTTTAATTTCGACATTCCTTATTTTCTTTATATTAGGAACATTAAAAAAGTTGAGAAAGTGACATCTTTTCTTGTAGTATTTATGCTTTCCAATTTATCTTGCATACTTAATTGACATTATAAAACTTCTATAGTGTGTGTAAAACAACCAAAAATAGGTGTTCATCAGTTGAGGGATTGGGAAGTGTGTAAAAGAAAAGGTGTTCCTCCTTGAAGGCTTGAGAATACACATCATGTTTAAATATGCAAGTTAGAATTAGGATGTAATTTGTAATGCGTACAGAATCTTGGCTCTGTTTGGCTGAAAGTTAACAAATCCATAGTTTTAATTTGGGTGCCAGAAACTATAAACTTCATTTTCTCTTTACGTTCCTAAATATTAGACAGACTCGGCATCTGTACATGTAAAAACCTTCTACTTTTACATAGTGTCTATTTAATTGTGACAGAAACATTTCTAAAGGAATATTATGATTAAAAACAAAAATTTTAGTAGGTATCGTATAATGGTAAAACATTCCTTTAATGTCAATCCACTCCTGTAACAGGCAGTATTTTATAATGGTTGTTTGTGATATTCTTGGACTTGTCCTTTAATGTCAATCCACCCCTGTGACAGCAGTATTTTATAGTGGTTGTTTGCTAGTGAAAATCAGTATTTCAAGCTTGTCAAGTACACTGTTTCTCAGAAATATAAAGCAGTGACCATGAGTTTCTTCGAAGGATTTGATATTGACTGAACTGTTGGTTCATTTTATTTGTCACACTTGTGTGTATGTGTATTTTATTATGTTTTGAAATCATGTGGAGCATGTTTTAATGCTTTGCTGAGAACTTTAATAGTATTGGATTAACCATTTATGGTGTGATTGTTTCATTTTGATCTTTTCTTATTAAAAGCATTTGTGCTTGTTTTTGTTGTAGGTGTTAAATAGGAGAGAAGATGATGACAACATCTACCTTGGTAGAAACTGTCTCAATCAACTATGAAGATTTCAATGAAAGCTTTTTAACATGTTCCACTTGCTTATGCACATATGACAGTCAGGAACATGCTCCAAAGTTGCTGTCATGTTCTCATTCTGCCTGTAAAAGCTGCCTCGAGAGGATAGTTGCAGCTACAGGTGTGAGAGATGCTGGCTCATTTCGCTGCCCCATCTGTCGTGAAACTATCCCACTTCCTCGCACAGGAATCAGTGGACTTCCACCAAGTTTTCTCATCAATCAACTTGTAGATCTCATGTCAAGACAAAGAAGAGAAGTGGTCCCAAGGTGTTCAACTCATACTAGCCAGGAACTGTTGTTTTGTGAAAGCTGTGATTGTGTATTTTGTTCAACTTGTACTGGAGGAAGTCATGAGAATGGAAATGGCAGCTATGGCCACACAGTGATACCCTTCTCAACAGCAATCAAAAGGATGTCAGAAATTTTGTTGTATAAAGCAAATCTCTGTATAGAGAAGCTGAATGCAGCAGCTGAGAATGTGAACGGTGAAGTGGGTAAACTAGATCAGAATGTAGATCATTCTTTTGAGCTAATTAACAGAACCTTTCAAGAAATCATTAATACTGTGGAAAAGAGGAGACAGGAGGTGCTGAGAATGGTGAAGAAGATAAGAGATGAGAAGAAGCAAGTGCTATTGGATCAGCTTTCTATGATTCAGGCAGAGAAGTCCAAGGTGGAGCAAGAATGTCATGGACTTCAGCATCAGGTAGAAGTGAGGGATATCACCAAGAAAATTAGTGAATTGAATGAAAAAATTGATTCTGTAAAAAATTTCATGGACCCACGAGAAAATGCTTTTATTAAGTATGAGCATTTGCACAATTCTGCTTTCTCTGAAATTGAAGCGGCCTTGAATGTTTTTGGAAGGATAAAAACAAGCAAGACGTTTCCAGCTCTTTGTTCAGCAGATGTGAAAAATACTTCTGCTCATCTTCTGTCTTGTTCTTTGCTTCAAACTGTTGATTACCATGGGAGTTTACAGTCAGCTGGTGGTGATCCTGTTGTCATACAGCTCTTTCATGAGAGTAATGAGGAAGTATATACTCAGCTTTTCGACCAAGATGATGGAACGTACAGTATCAAATACACTCCTGAGCAACCTGGTGTTTATAGACTCCACATTAGCATCTTTGGACGATCCATCAAGAACAGTCCATACCAATTCATTGCTTCTGAACACATAAATCCTATTGTGTGTTTTGGGTCAACAGGAACAGAAGATGAACACTTCTTACAGCCTGCAGCAGTTGCTATTAACAAGACTGGTCATGTGTTTGTTCTTGACACAGGTAACAGCAGAATTAAAGTTCTTGGACAGTCACTAGAAATTCTGCAGCACTTCCTTGGAGATGGGCTGGAGGAGCGAGGAGGAACGGGCATAGCTGTGACACCCAGTGACTCGCTTCTAGTCATCAACTGGAGGACCAGGTATGTCACAGAGCTAAACTTTGATGGTATGTTGGTTAGTCGGTTTACTCATCTAGATTTTGTAGAACCTCTTAGCTTGGCAGTGAACAGTAAAGGTGAAATATTGGTTGTGGACAACAGTCTTAAATGTGTGTTTGTCCTAGATCCTTGTGGGAAACTCTTGCGACGAATTGAGCTTAAACGGGGAGGGGGTCGAAATTCAAAATATGTTAGTCTCATTGCAGCTGGTCCTCAAGACGAAATCATGGTTGCCGACTCGCATATCCAAGTCTTCAGTCCTCGTGGAGAATTTCTTCGAGAGATTTATCCAGAGGGCAAATCTCGGGGTCATTTTGGAGGTATCACATATGACAATAAAGGCCATGTACTTGCCACTCACTCTGACAAAAATAAACACTATATTCAGGTATTCAACTTTATTTCAGGCCAACTGCTTTACTGTATTGACAGTGCTGATGCCAAACTGAAGAGACCAGCGGGGTTAGCAGTTGATGACAATTTCCATGTAGTTGTGGTAGATCTTGGTAATGATTGTGTTAAAAAATATAGGTACAAATAATGAAGGACTCGTACTTCACCCCCAGGAAACAAAGGCTACTATAGTACTTGATTAGTATTATATTTTAAGTGTGTCAGAGATGAAAATTATTAAAACAAGAATCATTTTAATGTTTTATTAGTGCTTTTAAAATATACTTTGTTTTTCTCTAAGCCATCTAGATCATTATTTATTTAAATATTTGAGAATGCAACTTTGTCATCCAGAAGGAAGAATCACATAGGTGTTTATTGTTGGAAGAGTATCCTGAGCTAAATCATTTGACTTTTATTTCTGTGCAGGAAATAAGAAAACTAAATTAATATAATTAATGGTGTTTATTTCTTTCCAAATCTAGGTGCTTTAGTGTGTCTTTATATTTGTATAGAAAAGTGGAAATCCAAAAACCCCATTGTAGTTTTTTTTATGAGAATAACTTTGGATATTTAGTATGAGTTTTACACACTTTCCCATCAGCACGCATGATAAAAGGGGGGGGGGAGGTGGTGGCCAAATATATTTTGATTAATAGTATCAAAATATGTATTTATAAATTTACTTTATTGAGAGTGCAAAAATTAAAAATGATTTAGAACATAAAGAAAAGTAGCACTCACATTTCCATGAGGGGAGTATATATATCAGGTTGACAGTTATTTTGGTAATTGTTACAACAGCTGTTCATGATCATGATGAACTATTTCTGTGTAGTGAGACTGAATCATTAATCACATGTAGTTGCTTGAAATATAGGCATTTAGGTGATCTGGCATGGTCTGGTGGTTAGGGCACTTGACTATGGGTCGTGGGCTCAAATCCCACCACCAAATGTGCTTGCCGTTTCAGCTGTGGGGGCATTATAATGCAATGGTCAATCTTACTATTTGCTGGTAAAGAGTAGCCCAGGAGCTAGTGTTGTAATGGTGTTGACTAGCTGCTTTCCCTCTAGTGTGTCACTTCAAAATTAGGGATGACTAGTGCAGATATTCCTCGAATAGCTTTGCACAAAATTCAATAAATAAACAAAATAGCCATTTCTGAAGTATGATGTAAATTATCAGGCTACAAAACTTGTGTTTAGAGGATTACCTTCTTGCAATTTATCCTTCTTTAAGTTAGTTTCAAACTCAGGGTTAAAGATTTGTCATTGTACTATTTAGATAGACTCTAGGTAAGGAAAAATTATCTGTATCTTCAGTAATTTGCTGCTCCCACTTTTAAAGTGCAAATAATGGAAAATCTATGCAGTTAGGCCCTATTTTGTTTACACAAACCAATATTGATTTAATTTTATTTCTTATTATGTATGTATTTCTAAGTATGTAGAAATTAATAAATAAAAATTACATATACTTTTTTCCAGGTTGATAAATTCCAATAAATGTTCTAAATTGCTTTGGAAATGCCAACTTACCTGGACAAAAAAGTAGGATATTAAATATTTAGTTTCTTACTATTTTATTTATGTTGGGCCGTAGTTACTCAGTGACATGTAATGTTATGATTGGCATTTGTGACTTCATCTTTTGTATGCAAATAAATTAAAGTCACATATTTTACTTTACCAATGGTGGCTTGAAACTAGTCGAAAAAGTTATTGCACAGTGCCATTCCTGTGCTGACTCCACAAGAAAATGTCCAAGATAAAACAAGGTGAAATGTATTAATTTGACTTAGATGCAACATTAAAAGTAATTTTATTCATTTTGTAATTTAATTTATGACAAAGTTTTGCAGTTCAATGAATCATATTTCACAAACTGTATGGAATAGGAAGGTGAAATTGCTCAGAGCTATTAAGGATATGATGCAGATGCAAAAATTACATTGCCACCAGGGAGCTACTGTGACCTAATATCTGATAAATCACAGCTATTATTAAAAATATGTTCCTCCAGCTTCCAGGTCCCCTGTTGGGTCAGCAGTAAATTTACTAACTTACAATGCTAAACTCCAGGGTTTAAGTCCCTGTGGTGGACAAAGACAATAAAAAAAAAATCAACTGGCATCCAGTCTGGAATTGTGTGAAGCTTCCAATGGTACACACTTGACATCAAGTAACCCCCACAACCAGAAACCAGCTGGTGTTAGGGCTTGTGAACATTCACAAATAAAGAAACTTGAAATGATTCTGTCCTGAAAGTGCTCCCACAAGATGCATTTTATCTCCTGGTTACTAATATGTAGAATAGTATGGGTCACACACACATATGGCAAAAAAGGTATAAATGATAGTTTCTGATGCATTATTTCTCCTGGTTACTAATATGTAGAATAGGATGGTCCACACACACATATGGCAAAAAAAGTACAATTGACAGCCAAGTCCAAGAATATCACATCCAACCATTATAAAATACTGCCTGTTGATTAGTTTCCTTGAGGGGAAAAAATCAATCTTTATTTTCTGTTGTATCTTTGGAACACATTTTCGATTTTAGTAAGATTATTATTCCTGCATATTATAGCTTCTTTCTTTAAACTTAAGTTTCATTAATTGTAACAGATAAAATGTTTAATATATGTATATGTGGTTGCATATATTTATTTACCTATTATATTTTTTTTTATTTATT